GGACGCACCATGCCCTGCTACAAGCGGCTTGCAGCTGCACCCGGCAGACCTACCAGGCTTACATCTCCATGCTACGGACATTTTTGATGATATTTTGACTAATTTCTGGGCAACTCTGCTGGAGCACATTAGGTCAGCATCGGCTGAACATGTGTTGCCTGATAGGGAGTTGCAAAGCATTGAGGAGAGGTCTGGGAAGCCTCTTAAGGCCACAAAGCGCTCTCATGCCTCATAACCCTATACATGCTGTCCACCTGGGTTGAAGGCTAAAATGGCTTTGACCCACAAGTATGGAGGGCCGATGGTACAAGCTTACTGAACTCTCCCTGACGGGAAGAACCTGGACTTCAACAATTCCCAGATTCGTGGCAAGAAGATACCAGCTTTCACACAGTCCTGGGACTGAAGGGGCTCATCGCCTTAAAATGTATGCACTGCTCTCCAGACTTGCCCTTGCACATGCCTGGTACATGACCCCCGTAGGGGTATTGGATGACCGTCTGTTGGCTATAGTTTATAGTCTATTGGCTCAAGGAGCCTGCTTGGTAACAGGCAACCTCTGTCCCTCATGAACTTTCTCGGATTCATCTGCCTAGTTATGCTGCTGATGGCTCCAGGTTGGGTGGCATATCCGTGAAGTTAAAGAACCAAGCATTTCTCATGTCTTCTCATTTTAGATTTTCCCTTTCTAAGTGTAATTAGCATACCTTTCATTTCTGATAGTCTCTAGACTTACTCTAGTTAGGCGTACAGTAAGCATTCGTGGAGTCCAGCGACTCCTGTGCTATATCAATGCAAGCTTGTATGGTTTTTGCTGGTTATTATTTGTTGCCACTAAAATCTGTGCTATATTCTCAAATGCCTTATACTCTGTTTAGTTATACATTTTGTTTTTCTTGCTACTGCTGTCGGGGCATTGCAAAACAGGCGACGGACTTCCACGACAGGGTCTATCCCCTGTCAGGCTCTTTCTTGTATCGTTCATGTGAGTGTTTTTAATCTATTTAGTAATAAAGTTTCATCCATACAGTGTGCTCTATGGATCGTTATTTTTGCTTATTTGTCGCTTTTTAGATCAAGCCACATTGGAGTTAATCTTTATTTTTCATATTCCTTGTGTGATAATATTCAGGATTGTGTACTCGACTGAATAAATATTGCGTGATATATATCTTTCAGCAAGGATGTCTGATTATTGCAACATTGTTGTAACATTGCTGCAACACCCTAAGTTGCAAAATTATTCAGATCAAACTGACACATTTATTTTAAATTCAATTTTAAAAGACTATTTCCAGTATATTTAAATTTTTCCTACTTAGGACATTTATATTCATCTAATATGATTATAAAATTTTACTTGTAGATTATTATTATTATTTTGTTATTTATATAGCGCCAGCAAATTCCATATTGCTGTATAATGGGTGGACTAACAGACACGTAATTGTAACCAGACAATCTGGACACACAGGAATAGAGGGTTTGAGGGCCCTGCTCAAAGAGCTTACATGCTAGAAGGAGTGGGGTATAGTGACACAAAGGGTATAAGTAGGGGTAATGAAAAAGGTTGCTAGATAAGTATTCACTGAGAACTTAGGTTATTTTTGACAGTTGCAGGAGAGGAGTCATGGGGGGCGGGGGGGTAATGAAAACCTGCTAACAGTTTAAATGATACGCTTTTCTGAAGTGTGTTTTCAAATAATTTTGAAGGAGTGGAGACTTGGTAAAAGTCTAAAGGAGAAGGTAAGGGAGTTCCACAGGTGCAGCCCTGGAGAAGTCTTGGAGGCGAGCATCAGATATGGGAGTACAGACAGAGGATAGACGTAGGTCTTCGGCAGAGTGCAGGGGCCTCAATGGGACATATTTGTGTACTAGGGAGGATAGGTAGGTTGGAGCAGCATCATGTAGGGACTTGTAAGCAAGCACCGAAATCTTAAATTGAGGTCTATATCTCACTGGAAGCCAATGTAGGGATTGACAGAAGGGGAGGCATGGGAGGTGCGGGCGAAAAAGGAAAATGAGCCTCGCTGCCTCATTCATTATAGATTGCAACGGTGCAATCTGGGAACACGTAAGACCACTGAGAAGGGGATTGTAGTGGTCAAGGCGAGAAAGAAACCCGGCATGAACATGACAACGCAACCCTCTACACCCATGTCAACACTTAGACACACGACTAATACGAAACGATAAAATGAAAGTTAAAAAACCCACGCACAATGACGTCATAGGACAGGAGAAGGAGATAAATAGTGAGGAGACATGCCACAACCGTTCAGAAACGCAGAAGGAGCAGACAAGACATCTGATGACAGAACCACAGACTCGCGACAAATAGAAAACTCAGGTCAATACATACTAATCCTACTATACCCAGACGAGCCACAAACAATAACTGAATAATTCCGACACGTAAACAGCACTAGCGGGACTGAACGAAGCCCGGACAGCTCCCCACCCTAACGCCCATGATCAGACTAACACCTGGGTACACAGCAACAACTGGTGCACTCAAAAAACATAGCTGTGCCGCTAGAAATTACCAGGGACCTGCGAGTCCGGCAATATTGTGGGCCTGCGAGCCCGAGAATGTTCCCACATGTCATGCTAACTCCACCAACGAATGATGCTAGTATTGTTGTTGATTATGATGTGCCTCCTAAGACCTGCGAGTCTGATTTTTCTTGACTTTAATACCACAAATAAAACGAATTTACAAAAAAAAAAAAAAAAAAGAAACCCGGCATGGACCAGCACCTTAGCCACATCTTGTGGTAAATAGGGGCAGAGCTATGTTTTTGAGATGGAAGCAGCAGAATTTGGTAATGGACTGGACATGAGGGGTGAAGGAGATGTCCGAGTCAAAGAGAACACCTAGGCAATGAGCCTGCGACAGTTAGAGGTGATTTTCTAATTTTATAATTATACATGTGTGTACATTTGTTATTTTACTGTTGTTACTGATTTTAATGTGTAATCTACCTGCTGCTAGTGACTATGGAGTATATAACTTTGCATAGCCTAAATATCTGTTCCTGGCTATCTTTCTATCTTTTATTAGTTGTTGTTATTATTAATCAATGTTGCTTTCTATTATTTTATTTCTGAAACTACAATTTTAGTACATTATAGGACATGTGTTTTCTAATCAGTTTTGAGCAGTCTGGAAAACATCTGTGAAATATAAAAGATTAAAAACAAACTAAAACGTAATTTTAGCATGAATGTGTGGTCTCTACTATTAATCATGCAAATGTGAGAAGTGTATTGGGGGTAGTGGCATTGTACTGGGCTAGAAATGTTGCTGTTTTTTATTGGTTGTCTTTATGAAAAAAAGATTGTGACGTAGAATCTGTTATTTCTATACACTCTTCTTTTAAGCTGTAATGCATTTTTACATTTTTGAAATTTGTACAATTTTGGGGGGATTTGCCTATGTTGGACATAACTAATAACAAATCTAACTGAAAATGAACTAATCAAGAATGAACCAAAACAAAATGTTTTGGATAGATTCATTGTGATAAGGATACCAAATTAGGGAGTTATACTGAACGATTGAAAGATCAATATTATGAAAAGGGCTCTTAATTTTGATCTTTCAACTGTTAATAGATAGTTCCCAAATTTGTTATCCCTAAATATCCACGTATAGCAAATTAGGTAGTTATCTACTAAACAGTTGAAAGAAGCCCTTTTTTATTTTTGATCTTTCTGCTGTTTATTAGAGGGGTGCAGTGTGTGAGTGAAGGGTAGTGTGTGTTTGTGTGTGGGCCTACATATGGGTGGGGTAGGAGTAAAACACATTTTTAATGAAAATTATTATTTAAAAAAAATAATAATACATAAATAAGCTTTATGTCCCCTCTCCCCTCTGCTTACCTTTCCTGAGGGAGAGGGACATTGTCCTGGTGGTCCGGAGGAGATGAGCAGCACTACAGAGATAGACAGAGTTCAGTCCTCCCGCGAGATCCTTGGAGGGTTGCTGTGGTAACCCGTGGCAATGCTCAGAATTGCCCAGCTTGTAGGAGGAACTTTCCGCCTCCAGGCTCCTCCTTCCCTCTCCTGCAGGCTGCCTGTCAGTGTCTCTGGACCGATGGAGGAGATCTTTGACTTCCCCACCGGCCCATGAAGGCACACAGCAGGGCCAGGGGACATCCAGGGGACTGGCAGGGGACATCCTGTGACCACCCCTGTCGGCCCATGGCCATCGTGGCCCACCGGGCATTTGCCCAGTGTGCCCCATGGCCTGGTTCCCAGCCCATGGCTGCCATTACTGAAATTTTGTTTGCATACCCCCTGGGGGTACGTGTACGTGTACCACAGGTTGCAAACCCCTGCAATATTGTAATCAGCCATCCAACCCCTATTAACAAGGTAACCATTTATACACATCACATTTATTAACAATATTTCTACAGTGTACATTGAATCATGGTTGTTGGGCATGGCAATTACAATAATATACTGTTATTGCTGGAATTTACTGAGATTTATTAGCTGCTAGTGTTAGAATTGCTTGATAATGATGATGATGTATATGTACAAAATGGTCATGGAAAGATGACAGGAAGTTGAGGTTAGTTAGAAATATTTTATTTCATTTTAATAAAATATCTGTTAGATTCAAACATATAACATATATAACATACAACATATATCACATGTATAGGCAGTATTTAAAGTAATAGCTGACAATGCAAAGAAAAATTCAGACAACAGAGACTGTGATACTATTTGTAAGTTGTGTGTTAAATATACATTTTGTACTATTCAATATCTCAAGGTCCAGAGAAGTAACAGAAGTATCCGTTTCCACTTTTTATCTTATTTCTTTACTTTTATTTGAAATATACTTTGAATTCCAGCCAGTTCACAATTTAGTGAATTACATTGTTACGTAAGCTTTTGGACGCAACATCCTATTAGGATTTTTACCATTTGATTTACATACTATACCTCACTCTTTGAAGGAGTAATATATATATATTTTTATTGTGACACATAGGTTATGCAAACAAATAAAAGGCACTGCTGTTGGTTGGATATCAATCATTTCAAACATCACCAGTTTAAACAAACAGCATTATGAAGAACGAGAAGCTATCAACAAAAGTTGGGAATAAAGTTATGGAGAAGCACCAATCTAGGATAGTTTTGTTTCTTTTTAATATCTTAAACTATGAACATCCCTAGTAAACCATTATTGTTATTATTTCAAACAGAAAGACTTTGGAGAAAAAACTAAAACATTACATTCTATTTGGAGTTTGTCAAATGAGTTTGGACAACACAACGAACATGTGGAAATGGTTCTATACTTTAATGAGGCCTAGAATAAAATTTTGGACCTTATAACAAAACAAAACGTATAGTGAGAAACTAATACTGCTCGTTGCCCTGAGATCACCATTCCTTAAATAAAGCATTGGTAAGGTACTTCTGATGTAGGGTGTGTTTTGTTGAATAGGACTGGGATAACTAGTCAATATTAAGAAAAAGATGAATTAAAAAAAAGGGTGCAATCATAGAGGAAAACCTAATTCAGTCTGCAAGACACAACCTGTGGAAAGGCCTGAAAATTGCTGTTTTCCGACAGTCCCAAACAATATGGCAGAGCTTGAGCAATTTGTAAAGAAATGTATTTTTAGACATTTGCAGGGTCACAATGTTAAGCATAATGGGTGAGAACTTATTCAAGTAGCAAATGTCTATTTTTTTAAAATAAGTTTCGCATCACAATTAAAAATATAAAATATATTTGGCACCTTCATTTTGTTAAATATGGTGTGTAAATCAAAAGAATATATATTATATTATATTTTTGCTCTCTGTGACTTTAGCATATTTGAAAACCAATTTAACCTCATGAAATACACCACAAATAGTTCCAAATAATGCAACTTAACTCACGCTTAACATTGTTCAGTATTGTCTGCTAACCTTTGGCATTCTAAGTTTTGTGGTGATCACTGCATGTATTTTCACCATTGTGGAAGAGTCAAATTAGCTATCACCAAATTATATGTAGGAGAGAGATGCACAATACAGCTTTCACCAAATTCTTTGCCAAATTTTTCTTACTTTTATTTTTTACTCTGCATCTTGTAGCAATTTTTAACTCTGCCACTAAAACAGACCAAAAAGACAATAAAATAGCTACAAAATCAATTTAAAAAAAATATTTTTAATCTATATATTAACTCATTAACTAGTGTACAACTTTCAGAAATTGCATAAAAAGCATAGCTAGTATGTGAAAGAGAGACAAGACAACATTTTTTGGTATTGCTGTAAAGCAACACAACAAAATAATCATGTATATATAGTTTTTTATTGAATTTATCTATTCTGGGAATTTTAGAGGTATTTTAGTTGGACTCACAGTCAATCAGAATAATTTGCATGAAACTCAATATGTAACTTTTATCACATACAAGATATAAAGTACTTAGTTACAGAGAAACAATGCATATTCCTAGTACATATACAATCACACACTTGCATATTCACCAGATTATAAACTTGACCTTCATAAACATAACAGACTCATTCTTTCTTTTCCATACCCTAGTCAAACATTAGACTATGTCTGTTCGTGAACTACAACTGTACCTGCTTTATGTACACTTTAGGTAAGTGATTAGAAAATATGTACCTTTAATAGACAATTTCCCTATTTTACTACATTTTTTTTTTAAGACATAATTACAAAAGAAAAAGATACACCATCAGAGTAAACCCAGTGGTTGGTATAAAATATACTAAAATTTCATTCAATGTCTTACATATTATTATGTTCACTAATGTTCATTTTTCAAAACTTTCAAAAGAATATACTAGTGTTTACACTAATTAGACTCAAATGCATTGTGCTGAAGCTTTGCTTTAATCCATATACCACAGCTAATCCAATTGCCTCAGGGAAACGCAAACAATGAACTAAAATGTACACTATGTCTGTATTACCCTATCTGCAAGGACCTGCGTGTCCAAACCACATACCACACCTTGTGCTTGTTGCATAATGTTTCATATAACCCATTCAATAAACAGCTTTGAACACTAATTAGACTCAAATGTTCAATGACATGAAAAAAAAAAAACTTAAATCTTAAATCTAAAGCATGTTTGCAGTTAGCCTTAGAAAAATGTAAAATGTTTAATTGACGTAATCCAAATATAAGAGACTAGGGGACGCTACATCAGCAGATCAAATTGAATAGATAAAATTTTTTCACTATAACACAATATAAAAGTTACATAAAACATATCCATTTATAAAATAATTATTGATATTTTCGGGATTATAAACTGCACGAAGTAAAACAAAATATTTAGTCTTGGGGGCACTGGGTACAGCACTTTTTGGTGCAATTTAGAAAATGCCTCATATTTTTTCATCTATTGCTTTGTTTTTCCCAAACTGTCATTTTTTAAATTTTTTCGCCAATGCTATGATTTTATGAATATTTCCGGTACTTTTTTTTGTGAGAAAAACATGGCAGGATTTTTCTTCCACTGTAAATTTGGTAGCCTTACTTTTTGGAATACTTTGAAAAATATCCATTTTAGTTTATTTTATAGACTCTCGCTTCCAAATCATATTTATAAATGCATGTCAATCCAGATTTTTATGAACTTGCTGCCAATAATTGCAATTGTATTTCTATAGTGGGTTAATCAACCTTTACCTTTTAGAGTTATGCTATTGCTATGGGTCACTAATGCCCTGCAAGGCATGATTTAACAAAAAATAAAATGCATTTTATTTATTAATAATTCTTATATTGAATTATACTAAAATATTATTTTAATTAATTGCATTAGTTATATTTATCTTGTGATCCCTATTCTATTATAATGGTATCACTTGAGTTAGCCTTGTTGAGTTTGATTGTTTTCTAAATGTTTGCCATCCGACATATCTTCTGTATGTTTCCTTTCCTTTAGTATATTGCTACATGATATGTCGGATGCTGCATAAAATAGAGTAGCAACAAATATTTTCATCTCATAAATGTATATCACAACTGCTGGTGGACAACATATAAATACATACTTAGGTCATTTCGTTAGATGAAACAGTTATTTAACAGGATGTGAGCAGTTATATACAGAAATACATCCATCAATTTTACAACAATGCTTTTTAGTGTTCAATGAGTGTTAGTGACCAGCAGAGGAGAAGGATTATGTTGCTTAATGATAATCGGTCACTGAGCAGCAATAATCAACTCTACCATGCTCCGTTAACAAATTAGCTGCAAATGCAAAATATGCAGAACATGCCATAGCTGCATCGTAGAGACCATAAAAATGTAAGCTCTTTATCTCTGAAGTTCGCACATACTCAAATATGTAGGACATTTAGGTGGGAATTGCTCATCACAACATTGAAGCATATATTTAAACTTTCTAGTTCAATAAAGAGGCAAGTAAATGTAAATATATGAAATACATGTTTTTTCCCCCCAATAATTCAATATTAATGAGACCAGAGGCTGAGAGATGATTAGCTGTTCAACTATAAACATTTGTCTTAAAAATATATAATTTTTTTTAAAATCTACATCAAGATAAATAAGTGTTTGTGTTTTCTAACTGTAAAAAAAAATTAGGTATAGTAACATGCCATCTTGTCTGGTTACAATTCTGAATGAATATTTTGTTTGTTTTTTTTATCGTTTATTAAAATAAAACTATTGCACTTTCTCCTCAGAAATTGAATTATACACACAAAATACTATACCAATGCCAAACCTGTGCAACATTTTATGAACAGTAAAGATTAACATGCAATATTTGTGCCGCAGCAGTACGAGAAAAGGGTTGTGGTTAAAAGAAAGTGAATATACGTTGTATTTAATCATCAAGCACAACAGTGGATATTGTTGTATTGTTAATCTCACTGGTAATGGAGGCTGACGTCGCTGGTGCACTTTTATCATTAGTAGCCTGCCTGCCTCCAACAATCTCTTCTGTGTTTCTTTCCGGTTTCAGTAAAATGATATATCCCTTTGGGACAAAAATGCAACCAAGTAACCCAAAACTTGATGCTAAAATAGCAAAGATTTCAACGGCTACTTTAAATTTCCCTCTTGTGCTTAGGTATGCTGGGACAAAAGATATCCAAACAATGAAGAAGACCAACATTCCAAAAGTTATAAATTTGGCCTCATTGAAGTTATCTGGAAGTTTACGGGCTACAAAAGCAGTTATAAAACATAATATAGCAAGGAAAACATCAAACCCGAACATGGAACACAGAAATTCAATTGAGCCTTCATTACACTCCAGAATAATTTTGACATTTTGGGATTCCATATTTTTATAGACCCAAGGGGGGTATATAATTAAATAGGCTATGCATATTCCAACTTCAATAGTCAATCCAATAACAGCAACTATTTTTTGATAGAGAGGTTTCATAGTTATTTGTTTAGTTTTATCAGCAACTTTAGATTTTGCTGCCCTTTTAGCTAGCATCAAAACAATAGTTTTTCCGAGAATACAGGACAAGCAGAGGGAAAATCCCAAGGCAAGAGTAGTTTGGCGTGCCATACAGGACCATTCTTCTGGTTTGCCAACAAACAGAATGGATGTCATAAAAGTGCAAACCAGGGATATCTGGATGACAAAGCTTAAGGAACGATCGTTTGCCTTGACTAAAGCGGTTTCTCTGTACATCACATAGATAACTGTAAAGGCAATGACGAGGGATGCTCCAAATACAGCCAAGAATACTAATGTGATCCCCAATGCCTCATCAGTGGCAAGAAATTCCACTTCCTTCAATACACATTCATTCTTGTGGGAATTTGACCAGAAGTCCGATGGACAGGCAATGCATTCTCTTGCATCTGCAAAAATAATATGGAATCTAGTGAGAAATGTATCATTAACAAAAATGTTCATTTAGAATTAGAGACAGGTAAGGACAATCCTCCACCCCCTCCCAGGGCCGGATTAACATAGGGACTGATCCAGTTGCAGCTCCAGGCCCAAGCCCTAGGCAAATGTCTACTCTTATGTGAATAACTCACTTACTTGGGGAAAAAAATCCATCTGAGGCTCTCTGCAGTACAAGGCTAAGTAGGGACCTGAGATGAGGAACCTGTAACAGGGATGGGTGCAAAACCAAGGAGTTGGCTAGACTCCCAAATATACATATATATGAAACATGGGGGGGTGGTTGCACTCACCTGAACATGCTTAAATGGGGTGCTGCTGGGGGCCAAATTATTCAATAAACAATACACAAGATCCAGCGCACTCTCCTATCTACTAAACAGCAACTTCAAGGTAGACAGATTTTATTAGTTTTTTTTTAAAGTTTTTTTCTAAAGTTTTTTTTTTTTTAAAAACACCTAATCTATGCAAAAAAAAATTGGAGATTTAGTTACATTATATGATCATACATTGCATAAACTTACAACAACATCAATGTACCCCATCTTTGGCAGGTCCTACTCTCACAGTCTAATGTCTACGCTTATGTGAATAATTCACTTACTTGGGGAAAAAATTCCATCTGGGGCTGTAGTCCATCCATTTAAATAGGCTATAGTGGAAAGCTAAGCATTTCATCTCTGACCTCTGTATAATAAATATGACACATATTGGCAAAATGAGCAAGAAATCCTTTAGTGTTTAACGTGTCTGTTGTTTATGGAGTGGTTGAAAAATAATCTAAAGCATTGTAATCTCAAATCTGTAAACATTTTCTCATATATTTCAATAGGCACAAATATTTGTACATGGATTCCCTCAAGACATTAAATGGCATGTGCGAACTTGCCATGAAGCCAATCTTCTGTTCATAAGATTTTAACAAACTAAATATCAGGTAGAAAAAAAAATCTCACCAGAAAGCAAATGACAGAAAGTGAAAAACAAATATTTGCCCATTACTGATTTACTCTATTTTTCATATTTATTACCCTGAATGGTTTCATACAAAATACATTTGTTTTCAATTTATAATTGTATTTAGTTAAAAGGGATTCCAACATCAATTGTCCCTGTGTGAAAATATAACTGCACCATGAACCTTTAGCAGCAAGAATTACAACAAAGGGCTTTCGATAATTGGAGGTTAGTCTTTTCCATTGTTTTGGAAGAGTTTTTGCCCATTCTTCTTTGCAAACTTGCTGTAATTTGGCAACATTGGAGGTTTCTGAGCATTAACTTCCTGTTTAGGATCATGCCACAGCATCTCAGTGGGTTAAATTAAGGACTTTGATTTTGTTTCTTTTGAGCCATTCTATACTGGCTGTATTCTTGTATTTTGAATTATTGTCCTGCTGCATAATCCAACTAGGTTACAGCTCCATGTCATGAACTGATGACTATATAATTTAGTGTCCCATTAAATTTTGAATTCACTTTGAATTCCCAACAATTTCCCCTTTAGTTAATAACCCTGAAATTTAATTTTAATGAATTACATTTTTTAGGGAGGCGGGGCCTGACTGCAGAGCGAAGCAGACACATGTCACAGCAGCTCTTACATCTTACCGCAACTAATGCTAATTTGAGCCGAGCAGAGGCTGTGACCCGATTTATTTGGTCTGTCAGGCAATCGTAGACCTACATGATGATATCACACAAGTGGACCTTCACACCAGCTCCGACAGCTCAGACATCACGCCTACAAGCATGGTCGGCGCAGGGGGAGACGCCGCTCTCCCGCTGTTTCACTTACCTGTAACGCAAAGCCCCTGTTCCCCCCCATGAGCCAGCGGGGTTTATCCAGGTCCCCACCAACCCAAAACACATGCATCACTTTCGAATCCTGCTACCCACTATAGCTCAGGCTCGAACATACCGGACCTAGCATTATGGCGGACGCAACCCGACCATTGATGTCTGCACCCACGCAGTCCTCACCCACAGAACTGGACCTGATCTTCCAACACTTCTGGGACGTGCTAGAGCAACACCTTACTCGGCTTCCTTGAACCCATGGAGGGAAGGTGAAGAGAGCTGGAGATCTGAGCGGAGCAGGCCTGTCTCTGGCAAAGCGTACACCTTCGCACCCTCTGCACATGCTAAATGCCTATCTGGGCCTAGGGTCACATAGAAGTTACCTCTGAAGCATTGTCGACACCGCCAGAAGACTAGGACCTTCCGCAGCAGCCATAATGAGAGACCGGGCCTCACAGAGCTCCCGAGTCTGTGGTACACAGATGCCTACCCTACATAAGGCCTGGGGCTGTGGAGGGGCCTCTCCTTAACCATTGGCTCACCTTCACTCTCCGGTACCTCCAAGCACTTGCCAACACTCTACCCAATGAGGGAACTGGCTAACACCATGGGCTGTGAACTGTGTCCATGTTTATAACCAAGAGTGCTTCACTGCAGTGATAGTTATTCTTTACCAGTGATATGCTCTCTGTTCTGATGTGCACTGTTTTATAGTTACACCTGATCCCTACACTACTACCCTAGTTTTCTACTCTTTTGATATGTTTTAAATACTAATGTAACATATGGCTGACACCATCTGGTGGTTATTTAATCAGTTGATGCACTCTCAAGGTCTCACACGAGGGCTCTAGGCTCGTATTAGTAATAGTGTGAGAACAGCATGTATTCCTTGTATTAACCCCAGGAGTGTCTCGCTGTGGTGTTGGGGTGCCACCTAACCAGGGCTGGTACAAGGCATTGTGCTGCCTGGATCAAAGGATGAAATGCTGCCCCCTCTACACCTATCTCCAACAAAACTACACCAAGCAAAAAGGACTGAGGAAGGGAGGGAGGGGTGACAGAGTAAGGGAGGATATGGCAGAGTGACTGAGGAAGGGAGGGGGTGACAGGTGTTGGAGTGACTGAGGGAGGGGGTGACACAGTAAGGGAGGGGGTGACACAGTAAGGGAGGGGGTGGCAGAGTGACTGAGAGAGGGAGGGGGTGACACAGTGGGGTGGGGTGACAATGAGGGAGGGGATTTTAATTGAAAAAAAAATACCTTTATTTTTGTGTCTTTGATCCCTGGTGGTCCGGAGGGCTGTCTCTCCAATCTGCCATAAGAGGCTGAAAGCCGGGTGTGAGCTGCAGACTGTGCAGTGTCTAGCAATATCCAGAAGTCAGAGCATTGCCGTGGTAACCTGCGGCAACAATCTGATTGGCCAGAGATCGTGAGACACTGCACAGTCTGCAGCTCACACCAGGCGGAGCTGCAGACTGTGCTGGCTCTCTGCCTCTCAGGGCAGACTGGAGGGGTCTCGCACCCGGCAGCATTCCTTCCTGGTGCCCATGCCGGGCCCCTTCCTGGTGTTGCGTCCTCAGTGAAAGACAGAGGACCTGACACAGTCTGCCTGCCCTATGGTGAGTTAGGTGGCCGCGAGACCTTAGGCGGCCGCCTAACTTACAAAATGCCGCCCCTGTCAGAGTGCTGCCTGGAGCCGTGGCTCCACTGCGGGCTATGGACGGGCCGGCCCTGCACCTAACCCTCTTAAGCTGTTATCTATTGCTCCGTTAAATAACTACTTTGGCTACCCTAATTTGCCTTATCCTCACATGATTTAATTAGTAAAATCTAGGCTGCAGAAATGATAGGATGTGTTGGGCTTCTGTGGATTATCTGCTGTATATCCTACTGTTATAGCCTGTTAATAATACAAACAATTAGGTATTGCTAATCTACCAAGCTACTCCTGTCTATTGTATCTTGAATTCTTGTAATGTTATTATATTTAACTCAATAAAACAAAGATTGACAAAAAAATTGAAAATATATTTATCAGGAAAATAGAGGTAAGGGCATAATCACTATGATACCTGTCTCGTTGGTTATTTCACCATCTGCACATGCGATACAGTCAAAGCAACAAACCGGCTCCCCTTGCCTAATGCCTTTTCTTGTCCCAGGAATACAACTTTCACTGCACACAGAACGAGGAGGCTAAAGATAGCACACAAAAAAAGCATTTTGTTAGTAAACTCTGATTTTGTTCTAATCACGTTGCATTCTTTACAGATGGGAATATTCACCAAAGTGTGAATTCAAAATAAATTTCCAAATTTGCCATTGTGGTATACATTTTTTGAATTTGCTTTGAACTCCAGACAAGTCACACTTTACAAGATGATTCCCTAAAGTAAAAATTAAAAGTGAATTTCAAATTTAAGGCCAGAGTAGCTCCACTGGAAAAATTCTCCAACTCAGCTATACTTCCAGTTTGGCTACTCTGGCCTTAAATTTTAGATTTACTTTGAGTTCTTTCTTTACTGAATAACCCTGTCAGTGAATAACCCTGTCAGTGAATAACCCTACCAGTGAATAATCCTGTCAGTGAATAAACCTGTGAGGGAATAACCCTGCCTGTGAATAACCCTGCGAGTGAATAACCCTGTCAGTGAATAACCCTACCAGTGAATAATCCTGTCAGTGAATAAACCTGTGAAGGAATAACCCTGCGAGTGAATAACCCTGTCAGTGAATAACCCTGTTAGTGAATAACCCTGTCAGTGAATAACCCTACCAGTGAATAATCCTGTCAGTGAATAAACCTGTGAGGGAATAACCCTGCCTGTGAATAACCCTGCGAGTGAATAATCCTGTCAGTGAATAACCCTGTTAGTGAATAACCCTGCGAGGGAATAACCCTGTCAGTGTATAACCCTGAGGGTGAATAATCCTGGCAGTGAATAACCCTGCCAGTGAATAAACCTGTCAGTGAATAATCCTGTCAGTGAATAACCTTGTCAGCGAATAACCCTAATAGTGAATAACCTGTGAGTGAATAACCCTCTCAGTAAATAACCCTGTCAGTGAATAACCCTGTCAGTGAATAATCCTGTTGGTGAATAATCCTGTTGGTGAATAATCCTGTCAGTGAATAACCCTGCAAGTGAATAACCTGTCAGTAAATAACCCTGCGAGTGAATAACCTGTCAGTAAATAACCCTGCGAGTGAATAACCCTGTCAGTGAATAACCCTGTCAGTGAATAATCCTGTTGGTGAATAATCCTGTTGGTGAATAATCCTGTCAGTGAATAACCCTGCAAGTGAATAACCTGTCAGTAAATAACCCTGCGAGTGAATAACCCTGTCAGTGAATAACCCTGTCAGTGAATAATCCTGTTGGTGAATAATCCTGTTGGTGAATAATCCTGTCAGTGAATAACCCTGCGAGTGAATAACCTGTCAGTAAATAACCCTGCGAGTGAATAACCCTGTTAGTGAATAACCCTGTCAGTGAATAATCCTGTTGGTGAATAATCCTGTCAGTGAATAACCCTGCGAGTGAATAATCCTCTCAGTGAATAACCCTGTCAGTGAATAATCCTGTTGGTGAATAATCCTGTCAGTGAATAACCCTGCGAGTGAATAACCCTGTCAGTGAATAACCCTGTTAGTGAATAACCCTGCGAGTGAATAACCCTGTCAGTGAATAACCCTGCGAGTGAATAACCCTGCGAGTGAATAACCCTGTCAGTGAATAACCCTGCGAGTGAATAACCCTGCGAGTGAATAACCCTATCAGTGAATAACCCTGTCAGTGAATAACCCTGCGAGTGAATAACCCTGTCAGTGAATAACCCTGTCAGTGAATAATCCTGTTGGTGAATAATCCTGTCAGTGAATAACCCTGCGAGTGAATAACCCTGTCAGTGAATAACCCTGTCAGTAAAGAACCCTGTGAGTTTGAACTTTCATTGTTTAAAGAATGCATTTATACAGGGTTATTCACTAAAGTGAGAATTGTTGGAAATTCAAAGTGTTTTCAAAGAATAAAAATAGCCAAATTATAAAACTTCCCATTTACTTTTATTTTGAATTCTCACTTTAAAGAAAAACCATGATTGTGTTAGAGCCTTCTTTATGTACTGAAGAATCTATAAAAAAAAAAAAAAAGAATAATATTGGTGATGATTAAAAAGGAACAAAGATAATAATTTTCTGAATTAAGAGTAGCTAGAGAAAATTATTTATTCTTTCTACATTATAATTATGTTTATTTCTTCCCGTTTGTAACATTGTAAGAATGTTCTTGTTTTGTGTGATCTGTAAGAAGGAAAACTATTCAAGTTATCAAAACGCTTCCAATAATTTAATGACGCCTGATTGCAATGATTGAAAAATAAAATTTAAATAAAAGTATACTATTAACTCCTTAAGGATCATGTCTAGCATGCTTTTGGTAATTTAGGGGATACAATGAACTATTTTGTTACCAGTCCAGTTGGGGTATTCCAGATTATTGAACTATTGTCTATCCTGAGTTCAAAGGTTGCTCCGCTACCAGTGGCAGTATAACGTCCAATTTTTGAAAATACTAAGGACTCATTGGAAGCCCACTGCCAGTTTAAAATATCATAATAGCCATCTACATCACCGAACTCATCAAACTTTAGAGATTCATTAGAGAAGACAGAGAATTTTGTGTTTTTCAAGTAGTACATCAACTGTAGAAAAACACAGATAAAGAACAATATGTTAATGAGAATTGTAAATATTAAAAGCATGTTATAAATAATAAAAAAAACTAGTATTCATCACCTCAAACCTGTTCCATTTTATATTAATATGCAGTCATTATATCTCAGCGGACGCAGTCATGCTTGAATAAAGAAGAAGTAAAAGGACAAGCTGCAGACCCGGTGCTGGCCCATCAAGGCTGCTGGTAAGTAAAATATTCTATGGGACTATCTTGTATGTGGGTAAGCGAATATCTTATTTGAATGAAAAGGGATGAGTGTGTGCCATTTATTCTGCGTGTGTGTGAGTAAGGAGTATCTATATGGGTCAGAGAGTGTGTGTTAGTGTGTGTCAGAGTGTGTGTGTCAGAATGTATGATGTGTGGGTCAATGATTGTGTGTCCAGAGTGTGTGTCAAAGAAAAAAATTGTGTGTTGTTGCATTGAGAAGGGCAAAGTTTGATTTAAAAAAACAATATATTTTCTTAAAATTATGCAATTACTGAGAGTATTATAGATATAGAAAAAAGGGAATTGGGGTAGCACATTCGGAGCATGCATTTATTAGTAGTGGTTTTGGCGTAAAGCCCAAAATATATACAAAATACAAACTAAGGAGCATATCACACACAAAAAATGACAGTTTTAAATTTAACAAGGCTACTTAAAATCACCAATCTTAGCAAACAAATATGGGGATTCAGTTCTAACATATTACCATATGGCCATATCAAGTTAAGCCCACCACTATGTCACAGTACCCCAATATCAGGGCGTCCTATACTAATTTTAACATGGGAGATGAACAGCTACCAGTACTTAGTTACTTAGTTCTTAGTAGTGATGCTACCATAAAGACCGAAATATATACAAAATGCAGATTAAGGAACATCGTGCGCACACACAAAAAAATTGTTTGATTAATGAGTTAATTACAGTTTAAAATTTTACAAGGCTTCTTAAAATCACCTATTAGAAACTATGACCCAAAGTGAGCACCACTAATGGAAATAACAAAGCATGAAAAAAATAAAAAGCATAAAAAGGTAAAATTGACAGTAGACAATTTTTAGTTTGTGAGTGCAATATATCCCCAATCCCTTTTATGGTGTTTAACTTTATTACACAATATGTGGTTCGCTTTCATGTTTTTATTGTAGATTGTATATTTTTATGTAATGAAATTACCTATGTTAACAAAAATATATGGCATATTGTGTTAGGTAGTGCTGGGCTTAAAACAATGTAGACATGTGGTGTAACTGAATCCCCTTATTTGTTTGTTAAGATTGGTGTTTTACATAAAAACTAAAATCAAAAACTGTAATTTTGCGTGAATGTATGCGCTGTTTCTTAATCTGTACTTAGTATTATGGATATACACATATATACACGTATTTTAATGTATGCACTGTGCATTATGTTAATATTTAAATATGTGTATACTATAACCATCGCTTTGGAAAGGAGCTGGATCCGCCAAATTCTGAATGTCTTTTGTGGATTGTTTTAAATTAGGAGTTTACATATGTTTTAAGCAAGGATTTTTATTTATTGTAAATGAATAAAATTGTTAAACGTTATAGCCTTATTGAATCCTTATATTTTTTTCTCATTATCTGAGAGTTAAGCCTTTGATAGTGCAGTAAGGGTGAAATATCCCTCTCCTACAAATGCATTTAATCCTAAGACTCTGATATATGTGAGTTTAACCACAAAGGATTTGCACTGACAAAGGTTGTATTTACAACCTGTGGCGTAATCTGCACTCTGCTATATTGATTTTGTATCATAAGTTTTAATGCATTGTACAAGAGTAAGAAATAAATATATATCTTATGTTATACTTTGTAGGTCACAGCTCGTAGAACATCACTTATTTCATTGTGATAGTGATAGTGCATGCAGCTGACAATTTAAATGTTTTTTTTTTTTTTTGCACTGGATATTGATTTATGTGCCTTACACACACTGTTGTGCTTGCATTAATTTTTTATTTAATTTATTATAACACTTCCACATTCAAGCAAACTATGAATAAGGTCCCTTTCTAGATTTACTCTATTTGTTAAATTTAATCTAACAGATAATTGAAGGCTGTTTTGGTACATAATGTACATTAAATAGGTGTTCCCAATAAATAATACTTTGTATATGTTTTGACCACAGATGGCACATAACATTATAGAATGTGACGGCATATAAGAACCTTTCGGCCCATCTAGTCTGCCCAATTTTCTAAATACTTTCTTTAGTCCCTAGTCTTATCTTATAGTTAGGATAGCCTTATGTCTATCCCATGCATGCTTAAACTCCTTTACTCTGTTAACCTCTACCACTTCAGCTGGAAGGCTATTCCATGCATCCACTACCCTCTCAGTAAAGTAATACTTCCTGATATTATTTTTAAACCTTTGTCCCTCTAATTTAAGACTATGTCCTCTTGTTGTGGTAGTTTTTCTTCTTTTAAATATAGTCTCCTCCTTTACTGTGTTGATTCCCTTTATATATTTAAATGTTTCTATTATATCCCCCCTGTCTCGTCTTTCCTCTAAGCTATACATGTTAAGATCCTTTAACCTTTCCTGGTAAGTTTTATCCTGCAATCCTTGAATCGGTTTAGTAGCCCTTCTCTGAACCCTCTCTAAGGTATCAATATATATACATTAGATGGTATTCTAACATGCTGAATCGAAAGTGATCACCATCTCTGTGATATATATATACACATTCATAGAGTATAAAGTAAAGTAACGTAAAACACACTTACTTGCCATGGCTCAAAGTTAAGTACGTCTGCACATTCATTATTTGGAAAAGGTCCATGACCATTTACACAAATATCTAAATCATGCAAAGCATTGGCAATTGTATACACAGACTTGTAAACACTGTATGTTAGCCGTAACTCAGATACATCTGTGTACGTATTCTGTATAGATCTAAGATTCTCCTTTCCAGTGCACAGCTGCGGTGAAATGTTTCTTCTCCTTCCAGCTGCGTTGGCTTCGGAGCTTATGTTGGTATAAAATGCTGCTTTATTTGTTCTCCAGGTACAATTGAAAGCTTCCTCCCAGAATTCGTACACTAGGTCATCTGTACTGTTTTCTGGGTGTAGCTCGTGGAGGAAATTTTCAAAAGATGGTATTAAAGCTTTCCTAACCGCAAAACCAACCGTTCCCCAAAGAAATTTATAATTACTCGGCTTTGCTATCAATGCTGATGTTGTCCAGGCCTCGCTAGATATGTAGGTTTTGCCTGTGATGTTTGTTTCTGCTATTGCATCCATTAATGCACTCAAATCTATATCAGAGGAAAAGATAATGATGATGTTAGCTGAGGATTTCCTTATTTCGCCCACAATCTTATCTATTGCTTCTTTGTTATATATTCTTGGGAGTGTCTCTGAAAAAGATATGCAAACGCCATTTTTTTCTACTTCTTCTTTGAATAGCTTTATGCCGTACTTCCCATAATCATCATCTGCAGCGATTGTTCCCACCCAGGTCCACCCAAAATATGTGACAAGTTCAGCAATGCCTTTGGACTGGTATATGTCGCTGGGTATTGTGCGAGTAAAGGACGGGAACTGGAACTTGTCACTGAGGACAGAACAGGAAGAAGCGTAGCCCACCTAAGAAGTAACAACAAACACAATGACATGGTTACATAGTTACTTAATAATCTAGGCCAAATCAGACATACTTTGGTGGAAGATGCATAGAGTTCATTGGCTAAGATGTCTTGTTTCTATAAAATTGGCTTCACTCCTTTTTATTGGTTCCTTACTTTAGTTTTCAAGATTTTAAAACAAACTTTTACCTGAGGAAAATAGTAAAGTCCAAGGATTCTAGCGGTTGCTATAGATAAAGCTGATCCCCCAGCTCCAATAACAGCTGCAAGAGGAGCTCCAGCGCTACAGCGGAAATTCGGATGGGTTTCATTTTGTCCTGTAAGAAATGACAGTGTGCCTTCGACTGATTTTGAAATAGTGAAACATGTATCAAAAATCTGATATCCTAGCGTTATTCTTGGAAGAATGTCAATGCGTTGATTTATTTCATTAATTGCAAATATCATGGCTCGGGCCCAACGCAAACTGCGAGCATTGAACCTGGGAATATAAAGAGAAACAGAAACTAAAATGAAATATATAAATGATTCATTTACAGCACAGATGACAACAGAAAAAGAAAGGTTGAACTGTATGTCTGTATATCTTAGAGCTTGAGCACTATGTAAGCAGAGCAGTTCTTTACAGTGAAAGAACACTTCAAGGACCAAAACCACTACATCATATTGTAGTGGTTATGGTGCCATTATAGCAATATGAAAGTCCTATTGATTTGTATTTATTTATTTATTTTTACTATTTTCATGTGGCAGCTGGCTAGCAAGCGGTGACCAGCCACTACATAATAAACCCTCATGTTGCTGAGGGTGTTTCATTATTTGCCCAGCTTTTTTTCACAGGAATTTTTCACTTCAGACAGCTTAGGGAGTGACGATTTATTTTTATACTGCTCTGCACCACGTGCTACATAGCTGTGAGATCGACCAAGAAGGCCAGTACATCCTATTGTCTAACTATTGATGATGTCTGTTATTGCATTCTACGGCTGCTCCATATTATGCAAAGCTCTTCTTGTTATTGTCTCAAATAGAGCTAAAACCTGCACATTTCTGGAGTTGACTTTAAGGCTGTCCTCGACCCTTCTAATGACAGATCCCTGAGAGGTCCCACCACTACTCCTGACAATGACCACCAACTCTTTCACTTTGCCGCCTCCCATAACCTTCAAGAACCTTGGAGAATTTTGCATGGCAGGGAAGGGGATTGCACCTTCTATTCTGCAGTATATGATTCTCTTTCCAGACTGGACATATCCCTGACAACTGACCATCCTGTCCTATCTTGCCACAACCATGATTGAACTTTTTCGTATTTCAGATCACAACCTAATTACTCTAACAGTAGCAGCTTTGCCCTCCCCCCAGTTCACAAGACATTGGCATTTCCCAGCACACTTATCTAATCAACAGTCTTTTCAAACTTTATTGATAATGAAATAGAAAATGCTTCTGACCCCAAGTTGCTCTGGGTGATGTCCAAGATGGTCATGCAGGGACTCAATCTCTTAAACTGCCTCTACCAAAATAAAAAAATGGCTTCAAGATTTTCATGTCCTATATCATGACCTCAAACACTTGAACACACCATATCTCTCAGGCCCCATTCTGGCAATATTACCTAGATTGAAGCATATGCTACCCACATTTATTGCTAACCATTCACAATCCAAACTCAACTTTCAAATGCAACACTTCTTTCTGTGAGGCGGAACATCAGGGAAATTGCTTGACCATATAGCCAACCCAAGTACCGGATTCAAACTCTGCTATCTGTTACGGCTAAATATTATAAACTATTGAAAAAACATATTTGTCCTATTCTCACAACTCCTTATCTGGAAGGTCTCCCAATAGACACCTTGAATCAAGTCCGCACAGTCCCCCTTCCTAAGCCGGATAGGGACCCTTCATCCTCCTTAACTTAGACATCAAACTTACCAAAATTATAGCCAACGGACTTCAGTCCTTTCTTCCAGACATTGTGTCTACTCATATTAACTGGATTTTGCTCAGAGCTGATATGCTGTGCTGGGGGTCAGGATTGCACAGGCGGCTATGGCAAGGGCAGGTTAGGAAGAGTTAAAGTCGGCTCATCCTTCCCTTATTAGCCTAGACCTTGAAAAGGCACTTGAAATGGCTACCTTGCCCTACTTGATATGGGTGCTCTAACTCCATTATTTTAGCCAATAATTAGTTTTCAATAGTCTCACTCAACTTCAATAAACTCCCTCATTTTCATTAGACTCACTGAAGGGCCCCATTCAATATATATATATATATATAATCTGTCCCATTTCAGTCAATGAATTCTCAACATAGAAATCTACGTCTAGAACTGAGTTACAAGGTGAGCAGGAGAACCCACCTACAGGTTCCCTGCCAACTCATCTCGTGATTTATTTGACACATGCAAAGGGACGGATTTCGCATTAGGCGACCAAAGCCATGGCCTTGGGCAGCATTCAGGAGAGGTTGTACAGTGGGAATGTTCAGGCAAGAAGGAGAATAGCTCTTTCCCTTTTTCGCCTGGCACCCTATGCAGCAAATAAGGGATGGGGATAAAGAGGGGAACAAGTGAGAAATGGGGGAAGGAAGGGGTAACAAGAGAAGGATGGAAAAAGAAGAAGGTAACAAGTGAAGTAATGAGTAATGAGAAGAGGGAAACAATTGGAGAAAGGGAAAGTTATGGGGAGCGGGGCATAAATGGGGGATGGGGAGAGGAACACATGTGAAGGGGAGATAAATGAATAGAAGGCATGAGAGATAATTAGGGACAGATGCCTATACTACTACACCACACAACTACCCGTGAACTGTTATATAAAAAAAATCAATGACTATATGCATAATAAATGTGGCTTAAAGCCTTATACCTCTTACCTGAAAAAAGTGCACCCACCCCTTAGTCTATGGTACTAGCGAATTGAATAATTACTCTCTATTGAGAAGTTGGTGTTTGGTGCTGAGGGTTACACACAAGGGACCTGGCAGTCTGGACCCAGTGGACTTTGTTCATGGACACAGTAGACTTCAGGGACATGCTACTGGGACAATAGATTACAATGATTGATACGCCAGATAACGGAGAAGTGGGATAAAGTGAAGGATGGGGGGGGGGGGGCAAGTTCATGTATTGCTGACTTCTTTGAGGTAGAAATGTTTACTTTTTGATTGTCTCAGTATATTCTGAAGAAGCTCTTTATTTGTTCAAAGTAGACCATGCAATAATGCATGACTTGTTGTGGGGCAATTTATTAGTGTACAGATGTTAATTTGGAGGACAAAGTTTTAAATAAGATCACTGATCACAAATATGCTCCTGCATGCACACACTGGCACTCTATTAAACCACACCTCTATGTTCACACACTAGTACTCTACATAAATACACCTGTCATTCATATGCACACATATTCCACACAAATAAGCTCCTTCATACACATTGCCATTCAGCCACCCAACCAATTACAATATTCCTCTCTCCACCCAGTCAGATAGTCCATCTCACCTTCCAGTCATACCCGCTCACCCTGTCACATTCATACACTTAGCCACATAACACACCCCCACCCACCTTCCACTTATTGCCATCCAACCATGTAACTAGTCATATAAACCATACAGTCATAGGCCAAACTACTTACATTCATCCATCCAATCACATACGCAAAGCTCTCTCTCTCTCTCTCTATCTATCTATCTATATATATATATATATATATATATATATATATATATATATATTGGGCACATTGAGGAAACTGGCCTTGGGGCAGCCAAAGGTGGTCACAGTCTTCTACCACCTTCTAGTGCCATGTGCCCTGCACTAGAAGGCACTAGAAGGTGGTAGAAGACTGTGACAACGTTTTTTTTTATCAATTGTCTTTATTTGTTTTTTTTTTGTTTTTGTTTTTTTGTGGTTACCACTCTTGTATTCAACTGGATTCTGGAAAAATATAAAAAGTTAAAAACAAAAAATGCAAATTAGGATTCTGATTCATTCTTCATTAGCCCTTATGTTAATGCAGCACTCATTGATTCTTATTTAAAAACAGGAAAAAAATCAATACAGAATAAGAACATGAAGAATAATAAAACACATGTACAGACCTTTTCATATGAGGCATTCTGAAATTGTCTTGCATAGCCTATAATTCCCCCATATACAGGTGATACTCGAAAAATTAGAATATCGTGCAAAAGTTCATTTATTTCAGTAATGCAACGTAAAAGGGGAAACTAATATATGAGATAGACGCATGACATGCAAAGCAAGATAGTTCAAGCCGTGATTTGTCATAAGTGCGATGATTATGGCTTACAGCTCATGAAAACCCCAAATCCACAATCTCAGTGTGTGAGTGTGTGTCTGTACACTAATTAGTGAGTGAGTGTGTGTCTGTTAGTGTGTGTGTGTTGGTCTGTTAGTGTGTGTGTCTGTTAGTGAGTGAGTGTATGTCTGTTAGTGTGAGTGTGTGTGTCAGTGTGTGTGTATGTCTGTTAGCTAATGTATCCGTATCTGTCAGTGAATGTGTGTGTATTTAGAAGGCGGGGCAGGGGGGAAGGGTGGGGTGGCTAGGGGATGAAGGGGGCGCTTGAGTTTTGTCCTGCCTAGAACTCCCAGAACTATGTTTCGTCTAGTTGCTGGTGGGAAAGTGTCTTGGATTATTATACTGCTTCTTTCAGCTTCGAGGAAGGAATAGCAGAGATAGCTAAGCTAGGTGTTGGAGCACCGCTACAGGTGCCATTTGTATTTATACCATGTTGGGATACAGTGGCACATCTTTCACAAACATTTGTACATTTTTTTTGGTAGTGGAAGGGTTAATATGTTTTGCCTGACATTAACTATGCATATAAACATGATGTGTGTCTCGTATAATGAGGTTCAAATTTGCTTTATAGATGTTAACATGTTTCATTTTAAATTAGTTTAAATGATTTTAATTATTACATGACACAATTAATACTAGTCTTTATTATTAACAGCAAGAACAAAGTGGAATAATACAGATGCATATTTATTATTTTACTTTTATTTATGCTATTGCGTTGACAGGTACATTGAGAAAAATTTAATTCTTACCAAACGCAATTCATTCTTTATTTATTTTTAGAAAAACACTTAACAAGTCAGCAAACATACCAGAAACACATAATGTAAAAGAACTGAGCAGTAAAAACACAGTAGAATGATATAGATGGGCATATTAAAACAGAGGAAGATATAGTTATATGGTGATAGAATAGTCATAAACAGTTCTGAGAAAGTATTTCTATGCAGAAGGAAAAACATTTGTACATTGATAATTAGAAAAGGAATCTTTCCAGTATAGCTCTCTTTGGGGAATTAATATGAACTTGTGCAGCACAGGTATAAAAATGGTCTTTAAATGGAATGGAAGTTCCGGTCAAACCCTAGACTTAGCTTTAATAATGTCAGTTTATCTGACACTGTTATTACCCCAGACCAGCTTGTTGTGATCATCTTGTTGTTTTTTTTAACAGATTACAAAAAGATGATACATGCCCACCCTAGTTATTTTTTATTTTCATAAAAAATCTGTTGATCAACTAGGAAAATGTTGTTAAATGCTTTAATGTTCTTTATTTTTGCTGCAGTTGTATTCCATTTTTAGTATTGTTATAATTCAGTCCATCTTTTAATTGGCTGCCTTTCCTTGTCCTTACTTAATATCCAGATAATTATACCTTGCACTGTCCTTTTTTTACATTGTGCTAGTTTCTTCTCAGTCTAACACAAACTTTAACTAACTGCTCTACCACCAATATTTTGGATTCAGCTCATCTCATGCTTCACTTCTACAAGTGCTCCCACACTGCTCTCTTACAAAACTTCAGTTTCATTTCATTTATGCCGGGGTTTATAGCCTTTAAAATGTACAATTTTCTCAAAGTGTATTTCCCAAAGACCCATTGTTTTACTTTTGTGACACCCTTTGGAAATTTGTTGACTACCATACCACTAGACCATTGATAGTTTGGGTGGTTTGGCATTCCTTTCCCCACACTTGATTAGATATGGCAGATGTTCTACAACCCCATGGTTTTGGTAGAGAGGATAAATTACTCAGTTTGTCAAAAAGAGGAGTCTGGGGACTAAGATGTCTTCTAGTGGAGCTCTGCATATACTCCGAGATTATATCAATTATATATAGATCTCATAATCCATGGAAGTCTCTACACAATCTCACCCCCCAAGAGATATAAAGGAGCGCAAGCACCATAGGTTTTACCCACCAAGTCCTTCTAAACTGCAAGATATTAGACTCCCTTTCGAGCTGCCTACATCGCTGGCGCCTCCAAAGATAGTGCCTGCCACAAGGAAGCCTCAGATGAATACTTGGAGGATAAGGAGCTAGTTGCCTCACCCCAACAGAGTTTAGCTTACCGGTAGGCAGATACTGATGCTGACTCATCTCGCTCAATGAAGGGGCATATAAAATGGCTGCTCGTACATATGCGCAAAGTTTAGAAGACTGACCTCCAGGAGACCCAACAAAAGCTAGTAACTATCCAACAGAAGCTCAAATGAGTGGAGGAGAGGGAAAGCGCTTGAGATGATCAGCTACAGACCACCAAGACCCACATGGAAGGACTTAGCCAACAGGTCCAGCGACATTGGCGTTGCAATTAGAGTTGAGCGAACCCGAACTGTAAAGTTCGGGTCCGTACCGAACATTAAGATTTTTTGACCTCGAACCCGGACATTTCAGTAACAGTTCGAGTTCAGTGTTCGGTGATTTAATGGCGCGTTTTGAACAGCTGCAGGACAGCTAATCAACAAGCGTTTGACAAAGCTGTCGAATTGCGTCCTAACAGAATGAGAACAGTTTCTCCATTCATGTTAGAACGCAATTCGGGACTTTCTTCGCAATTTCATTTGAATGAATAAAACTCTGATCCTATTCATTGTGGCGGCACGGTATTAGGGAGCTATATACCTAAATTGGTCTTTCAGCCACATTTACTAATACTAAGTAAAGATTACTTAGTATTAGTATATTCAGCGAGTAGGGGCATGTCTAGTAAACAGTGAGCAGCCAGTTTACTAGACATGCCCCTTTTTAAAAATAAATAAAAACCCATTGGCCCCCACCCCTGAACGGCCCTAAAGTAAAATAGGGGGGGGGACCTATTGTCCTCCCCCCTGGCCCCCACCCCTGAGTGGTGGGTAGGGGCCCTAAATAACAATGAGGGGGGGACCTACTGTCCTCTCCCCTGGCCCCCACCCCTGCAAGGTGGGTGGTGGCCCTAAATAAGAATGAGAGGGGGGACCTACTGTCCTCCCCCCTGGCCCCCACCCCTGCATGGCAGGTGGGGGCCCTACAGAACAATGGGGGGGGACCTACTGTCCTCCCCCCCTCCCCTGCACAGCGGGTGAGGACCCTACATAAGAATGAGGGGGTACATACTGTCCTCCACCCCGGCCTCCACCCTGCACGACGGGTGGGGGCCCTAAATAAGAATGAGGGGGAGACCTACTGTCCTCCCCCCCAGTCCCCACCCTGCGCGGCGGGTAGGGGCCCTACATAGGAATGAGGGGGGACCTACTGTCCTCCTCTCTGGTCCCCACCCCTGCGCAGCGGGTGGGGGCCCTACATAACATTGAGGGGGGGACCTACTGTCCTCCCCCCTGGCCCTCACCCCTGAGCGGTGGGTGGGGGCCCTAAATAACAATGGGGGGGACATACTGTCCTCCCCCTACCTATCCCCCTCACCCTAAAAATAGTGAGGGGGGAATAAAATAACTAACCTGTAAATTAAAATAAAACTTAGGTTTTGGAAAGCAATTCAATTAAAGTTGTTTGTGTTTTCTTCATATATATATATATATATTCAGTTTTTCTTTACAGGTTACAACCGGCTTCCCAGACAGGATCAACATGCCAAGGACCCTCCTAAATAGTTGTTCTCCCCCCTTACCTCTTAGTGGTCTTCCCCCCAAACACCTTAGTGGTCATCCCTCTCCCCCAACGCCTTAGTGGTCCTTCCCCTCCTCTTCGTGGTCCTTCCCCTCCTCTTCGTGGTCCTCCCTCCCTGTTGTGCCTGCCTCCTACCTATCTCTGTAGCTTGGCCGGGTGGTGTGGACCACAGTACAGGAGCTTCTGTTTCCTGTGCCAGGCCGGACTGAAAGGAAGTGCTCGCTCAGTGAGCCACGCTACACTAAGTGACGGGTAGGAGGGAGCACTGCCCTTCTGACCGGTCACTAAAATCTGGCACCCCCCAGACCAGTGCACCCTAGGCAACTGCCTAAGTCGTCTGTAGGACGCGCCGGCCCTGGGCAGACAGCTTCTAATTTTTCACTTTGTGTGGTTCTGCAGGAACAGTGTTACAAGTACTATGTATTTACGTTTTGGCCACTATAGACCAGTCAATGCATATACTCCACATATACTTACTGTCTTCACATACACAAATATAAATTACTAGCAATACACATAGATACACTATCGTTCATTCATTCATACAAACATACACACACAGTCACAAACATTCACAAACAAAAAATGGCACACACAAACACGAACATAGACACACACTTCTATTCATGCACATTCACATGTGTATATAGACAAACAATCAAGAAATCAGTCACCTACATACATAGACACACAATCACACATAGAGTCACAATCATTCCTAGACACAGTCATACACAGAGTCACATGCATACATGGATTGACATCAGGCCCGGACTGGCCATCGGGCATACTGGGCAAATGCCCGGTGGGCCGCGATGGCCGTGGGGCCGAGGCCGGCAGGGAGATTACAGGATCTCCCCGGCCGGCCCCTGCAGGGCCAGCGCTATCCGAGCGCCGGCCCTGCTGTGTGCCTCCATGGGCCGGTGGGGAGATCAAAGATCTCCCTCACCGGCCCACAGACAGGGAGATGCGGCCGCCGGCTGGGTGAGGGAGGGAGGGAGGAGAGAGGACCGGCGGAGCTCGAGCCAGCAGCTCCGCCGGGTCCTCTCGCGGGATTCTGAGCGTTGCCGTGGCAACGCTCAGATCTCGCGAGAGTGAACTCTAACCTGCAGGTTAGAGTTCACTCTCACCACTGGGCCACCAGGGAAGGATGGCAGAACGGCTCCCCTCCCTCCATGGCAGAACGGCACGGCTCCCCCCCCTCCCAGGATAAAGGTAAGAAGGGAGGGGGGGAAATAAATTTTTTTAATTTTTTTTTTTTAGTAGTAAAAAAAAATATTTAAATTTAAATAAAAAAATACATTCACTCACACACACAGCACCCCGACACAGCACCCCCCAGACACACACAGCACCCCCCAGACACACACAGCACCCCCAGACACACACAGCACCCCCAGACACACACTGCACCCACAGACACACACTGCACCCACAGACACACACAGCATCCCCAGACACACACAGCACCCCCAGATACACACAGTACCCAGACACACACAGCACCCCCAGACACACACAGCGCACCCAGACACACACAGCGCACCCAGACACACACAGCGCACCCAGACACACACAGCGCACCCAGACACACACAGCGCACCCAGACACACACAGCGCACCCAGACACACACAGCGCACCCAGACACACACAGCGCACCCAGACACACACAGCACCCAGACACACACAGAACCCAGACACACACAGCACCCCCAGACACACACAGCACACAGAATGTGACAGCAGATAAAAACACCCTCACACACAGCACCCCTCTTACATACACACACTGCGCCCCTCACACATACAATAAGTCCAAATATATATATACATGCACCCCTCACACTGCACCACTACACACATTACGCTCCAGATACACACTAGATCCCTTACTCTATATGCACTCTATACACACACACACACACACACTGGGTCCTTTACACAGTAGATCTCCTACACACACACTACATTCCTTGTCAGCAAACACATACAACATTCTCTAAACACACCCTCTCTGCAACCCCTACACACACTACGTCACCTATACACACACACTTCAGCCCGTATGCACACACTCGCTGCATCCCCTATAAAACTATGCCCCTATACACACACTCTCTACAGCCCCTAGCCACACATATTACACCACAAACACAAATTAAATTGACCTATTTACACAATACCACACCACACTCTACACACACTCAATCCCACAAGCAGGCTCCAAACATATGCACCATGCACTTTCCTGGCCCATTTGTCCTCTGGTATCCCACTTGTGGAGACACCAGAGACAATGTAAAAGCAAACACAGCACAAGCATGTTATTACATTTGCTTGCGCTGCGCAGAACAAATTCAGGGCCTTTTTCTAATGCCAGAGCTCTTCAGCAGGGCTCTGGGCATTGAACCAACATGCTCACTTTGAGAGGGGGCGTGTTGTCATTAGTGATGACAAAACACACACACTCTGGCCCCGCCCTCTTCTTAGGGGGCCGCTCTGATTGAAAAATGCCCGGGCCTAATTTTTTTCCCAGTCCGGCCCTGATTGACATGCTATCATAAAGTTACCATAGGCGTGCGCACGGGGTGTGCCGGGTGTGCCTGGGCACACCCTAATCCCAGCAGCATGCCTATGTAAATTGAGACCTGCTGAGCCAGGGCTCATGCAGAGCCAGGGCTATCCGAGCGCCTCCCTCCCCACTGACCCACACGCAGGGAGGGAGGCAGGAGGCAGGAGAGGATCTGCGGAGCAATTGCCGGCAGCTCCGCCGGGTTCCTCTCGCGAGATATAAGCATTGCCACGGCAACGCTCAAATCTCGCGAGAGTGAACTCTAGCCCCACAGGGGCTAGAGTTCACTCTCCACTGGACCACCAGGGATGGAATCAGCAGCACGATCCCCCCCTCCCTACAAAAGGTAAGAAGGGAGGGGGGATAGCAAGTAATGCACCCCCACCTCCACACATACAGCACACACACATACAGCACACAGACATACAACACCCACACACATACAGCACCCACACACATACACAGCACCCACACACATACAGCACCCACAGACATACACAGCACCCACACACATACAGCACCCACATACATTCAGCACCCACAGACATACAGCACCCACACACATACAGAACCCACACACATAAGCACCCATAGACAGCACCCACATACATACACAGCACCCACACACATACAGCACCCACAGACATACATAGCACCCACAGACAAACACAGCACCCACAGACATACACAGCACCCACACACATTCAGCACCCACACACATTCAGCACCCACAGACATACAGCACCCACGGACATACAGCACCCACAGACATACACAGCACCCACACACATACAGCACCCACACATATACAGCACCCACAGACATACATATATATATGCGGCGTGTGCTTGTGCTTTAGGGTGCACACCCTAATGCAATAGGCTGCGCACGCCTATGAAAGTTACATACATGCATACACAC